ATTATACAGCATCTGGACGAGCTATTAAATTTATAGAATATTACATACTCAATGATGTTTTACCATAGTAAGAATAGTATTCATGTTAAAAAAAATGAGCTCTTTTTTGAAAATATTATTTACAGTTATGCTAATACACACAGTAAAAATAATGCTTGTGCATTACGAACTACAAAATTTCGTGAAGGAGCACGATTACTTATAAAGAAATGTGTCAATGCAACTGATGATGACGTTATTATATTTATTGGATCAGGTTAATAAATAAATCTTATTCATGTAAATATTAAATAAAATAATTGATAAAAATTTTAGGATCAACAGCTGCTATTAATAAACTTGTTAATGTTTTACACTTAAGAGATAAAGATATTCAAGATAAAACTGTTGTTTTTATTAGTACATTTGAACATCATTCAAATATTTTACCATGGAAAGAAACAGGAATTGAAGTAAATTCTTTTTTTTAAATCTCTTCTATAAAAATCGTAATATTTATTTTTAGCTTATTCAAATTCCAAATACTAAAGAAGGTCTTCTTGATCAACATTTTCTGAAGAAAAAATTAAAATATTATCATGATACGGTTAAGAAACATGTTATTTGTTCATTAAATGCAGCCAGTAATGTAAGGGCTCATTCATAAAGAACATTTCGGTAAAGAAGGATATGGAGGTCAAAGATATCTGGATGTTTAGATGACTATTTCAGAAAATATTGGTTTTTGTGGACATAACTTTTTCCGAAATGTGACTGACTTCTGATGAAGGGTAGGGGAATCTCGAAAGTGTGAGAGTTTTCTTTTTAAATTAACCACACCTATACCCTGAACGTTCTTTACGGATGGTTCTTAACTGGTATTCGAACTGATGTCGATACTGTTTCAGCACTGGTGCATCATTATGATGGATGGGTTTTTTGGGATTACGCTGCAGCAGCACCTCACGTTAAAATTGATATGAATCCATCAACAGCAACTTATAAAGATGCTGTTTTTATTTCTACACATAAATTTATTGGTGGTCCGTCAACACCAGGTAGATAGCAAAAAAAACAACAATTGAATAAATAAAATTGAATTTCTATCTTGTTTTTTTTTTGCATTCAGGTATATTAATTGCTAAGAAAAAATTATTTACAAATCTAGTTCCAATTGATTGTGGTGGTGGTACAGTAAATTTCGTAACTCGAACAAATATTGAATATGTAAAAGATATTGAAACACGTGAAGAAGGTGGAACGCCAAATATTCTTGGTGCTATACGTGCTGGTTTAGTTTTTCATTTAAAAGAAATTGTTGGAGAGAAAATAATCGAAAAACGTGAAACAGAATTAATTGAAAAATTTTTTCAACGTTTCCAAAATCATGAAAAATTACTTGTACTTGGATCATCAATTGTTCCTCGTCTAGCAATATTTTCATTTCTTATTTATGTACCAACATTTAATAAATATTTACATCATAATTTTATATGTATTTTATTAAATGATTTATTTGGTATTCAAGTACGATCTGGATGTGCTTGTGCTGGGCCTTATGTTTTAGTAAGTTGGATATAAAAAGAACTTGTTTTAAATAAAAATATTTACATTTAGGAATTATTAAATATTGATGATCAAAAGGCACAAATTTATACAAGATTTATAACAGAAGATGAAAAGTAAGTTTTAATTAAATAAATTTATGAAAAATATTTAATAGATATTTTAGTGGTCGATTCGATGGATTTTCAAGAAATGTATTAATGAAACATGGCTTTACAAGATTTAATTTATCTTACTTTGCAAGCGATGAAGAAGTTGACTATATTTTAAATGCACTTGAATTTATTGCAGATGAAGGATGGAAACTTTTACCATTGGTATTAATTCTTTTTTCAATAATTAAAATTTATAAAATATTTCTTTTCTTTTTAAGTATACATATGAACTTGAAACAGCTGTTTGGCGTCCTCGTCAAGCGTCATCAGAAAGCCATGCCTCTCATTGTTATAATCTTCAAATGATTACTTATGAAAATGGTATAATGAAGCAAAGTTCTTCAACACTACAAAATCAAATTATTGTAAATAAATTTTAGTTGTTGTATGATTAATTTTATGTTTATTTCTTTTATTATATAGCAATCAAAAATTTCTCAATCAATTAGATCTTCGTCTTCAAGTGATCCATTAGATCAAGCTATAGCAATGGCAAACAATATCACAAAATATGTTTGTAAAAATATTGATTTTCGAAATGATCCACCATTAGATATTCCAAAAGAATATCAAGGTTTTATTTGGTTTATTCTACCGAAAGAAGTTGTTATAAAAATGCTAAATGTGTTTGTTAGCGTCAATAGATGGCTCTGTATGACGCCAACTCTATCATTATTATTTGTTATATAATCCTCTCTAATCTTTTCTTGTTGATCGTTCGTTATGGTTGATCAACGTTCAGTGAGTCAGTTATTTGTTGTTTTTCTCTTCTCCCGGTGATTGTTTATTTTTTTTGTTATTTATCTTTTTCAACATTATTATTAGTATATTTCTATTATTTGTTTTTATTCATCATTAAATAAAAACATATTCATCTATTATATATTATTATCTTCAAATCAATTATTACAACGAATAAATCCGGGTAGGAAGTTTCTTTTTATAAGTGAACTCTCAATTATAAAAGGCAGACATTCGTCTCAAATTAGATATTATTTAGCCTACGTAATAAACGGAGGATAAAGATTGAATAAGCTAATAAAAGAGAGTCTCACAGTATTTGAACAACATCAAGATCATAATCATATATCGATACCATTTCGGCCAAGAAATAATTAATAAATTATAAAATCAAACAGACTTGATCATACTATTACTTATATTTTATTTAAAGTCATATCGAATCTTGCAACATTGTCTAATCAAAAAACGATAATAATCTAGATTTACATATAGAGATCTATAGATATTAATATTAAAAAAATAGTATTTTTTTTTTTATTGTATTGTAATCTATACAATGATCATCTGATTTTTATTAATAATAAAGAAAAGACGAAGGTGAATCTGACCGATGTCCATTTAGAACACGGCTAAATCAGAATGATTGGCTGGTAGAATTTTTTCTCGGGTACCATAAATTTTCTGAAATATACAATTTTTTGTAGTTTTTAGGGAAAATTATTCGAAAACAAAAGACCAGTATAAAAATGAACTTGTCGATTTTGTCGTCAGTAAATTCTTTACCACATAAGTTTAAAAGAGAAGTATCCAGTCGTTCAGTTTTTCTACGATAGAATAATTTTTATTTTCCTGAATCGGTCAAAACATTGAATGTATATTTCATTTGTATTAACTGATATCGTCCAACCATATTTTCGCGCTTTGCTGAAGTCACCCTCGATATTGAATGATATGTTGACGACTAATTCTATAAATAACATATGCAATTATAAAAGTAGGCTGCTTTTCAATCATAATACACAGCGTTCAGTTCAAGTGCTTAATTTATATAGGTTATGATAGAAATTTCTCCTAGATTGGTATAGAAGACTTTGCCAGGAAAATATTCGACTTCAGTCTACTGCTCTTGAGAAACGCTCTATTTTTCATCTTCAACAATGAATAACTATCGCTCTATGCCGCCCTCTGAATTTTTGAAGCGCAAAATAACAGTACTACTCCAGTTTCCGTGAGAATAGCATCAAATCTGGAAATACTATGGGACCGAGACCGACAGTTAAAATAGTAATCTTGATATTCTAATAACAGTTTTAACTTACACTACTCGCCATAAGTCCCCGGATATGTGGTACTCCCCCACTGCTTCGATAATTTTCCAGCAAATTTTTACCAGAGATAGAGCTTAAAAAACTGTGATTGTCAGCACTGATCCGAGCTCTATTGATTGAGATAGTACGGAGTCACAGGTAAACAGACGTGAAACTAGTGTTTGAATCATAACTCCATACTATCTCAATCGATAGAGCTCAGATTAGTGCTGGCAATCCCAGTTTTTTAAGCTCTATCTCTGGTGAAAATTTGATGGGAAATTATCGAAGCCGTGGGAAAGTATCACACATCTCGAGACTTATGGCTAATATTGTAATCGTGCTTTATATTTTTGCTGCCTTATGAAATTGAAATGGTACTTTTTTGATGAAGAATAAAGTTCTGATAGTTGATGTCTCTATGAATACAACATGAAATTTGCTTCATCCACGATAATAATAATTTTCATTCTTCATCATCATCCCCATTCTGACATTGTTGTGATAAGACAATAGACAAGATCAGTAGAACCCTACCTCAAGCATAGAACAACGGTGCAAATAGATGTAACAGTCATCATTTTGCTTCTCACACAAGCGTATGTTCGTTTCTACAACGCTGAATATAAACCAAAGATGCATTTGTTTATTACAATTTTTTACAATACATCAAAGCATCTAGAATGTCCAAGTTGATTCTAAATCAATTTTTTTTCCAAATAGTTATTTTCATAGTTTGTCTGTATTTTGATAATTTATTTTAATTCTTTTCAAAATTCTACTGTTTGAGAGACAACAAAAAATGAAATGTTCTACAATCAAAACAAAGTTGAAAATGGAAATAAATGACTAGTTTTTTTCGAACGTTGGTTTTAATTTCCAAAAATATTCATCAATTTTCAGACATCCTAAAGATTGTCAGATAAACACATTTTACAAAAAGATACTTGAGGATGTGAGTATGGGTATCGGTGTGCGGTGCGTGTATACACCCACACCCTAGATATCCCGACATGGAGAGGTATATTTTTATGTAAGATAGTCGGTAAGCAAGCGCGTCGTTTGGTCCTTCATCACCTCAACGCTTTTTGTTGCTTTCCTTATCTCGACATCGTTTATAACCGCCAACTACCATTTTTCTCTAATATGCAGTCATTCATTATCATAGAATTGATAAAATCGAGTAGAGCGATAGAAAGCGTTATTCTTTTCATCCAACTCATACATTAAAAAAATGAAGATCGAGAAGATGGAAATGTTTCATGTCAAACCAAGATGGCTCTTTCTCAAAGTAGTGTAATCTAATACTTCTTCAGAATTGCACTCCTAAAAACAATTTTTAGATCACATGCGATGACGGGACAATAGGTTGGGGCGAACCAGTGGTGGAAGGAAGAGCTCAAACGGTTGAAGCTGCTGTAAAAGTAAATTGATAGAATATTTACCAGACGATCGAAAAGTGATACCTTTTGATTTTGCTCCATCTTGTTTCGGCAAAGTTCTGCAAAATTTTGCTCTTCTAGAATCTTCTCAACCGATAGCTGCATGTAAAAAGTTAAATCTCTCACTTTTGGACACTTTCCGACTATATAAAATATTTTCAAATTCGCAAGATACTTTGAATTCTATGCAATAAACATTCATTATTATTATACAGGATGGTCCAGAAGTTACCGGGTAGTCTTTGATTACAAATAACTTTTGATAGAAACAAGATAGAGAGGTGCGGTTTTCACCGTTGAAAAGACAATGCTTTACTGAATGCTTCCGTATATTATCGCTAATATAGATTGATTATGAAATAATCAGTCGGCGATCTTTGGAAAAACAATGATAGTTCTATGAATGTGAGATAGGATAGAGTGGTCTAAAAATCGTTCGATAATCTGTAATTGAAAATGACTCTTGTTCTGTTCGTTTAAACAAAGCTTTTCGCATCTCTTTCTCATAGTCATTGACTATGTATCTCTGGTCAATTTTTTATTGCTTCTTGTTCGTTTGCTCTTTTAGCACATATCGTGTTTCTTTTTCTCTTTCCATTTGCTTTGTGCGTCTCTCTTCTTTCCACGCATTACTTTCTTGAGCGTGCGAGGTATTTATAAGTGAAAAGATAAGAAACAGAGGGGAATTTTTTGATAAAAGCGAATGGGAAGTATATATTTAGTTGTTTTTGTTTTCTTCTGTACGAGTGTGCTGGTTGTGCTTAGCGAAAAGAATAAAGTTAATACTTATATCTAGTATTCTTTGTTTCTGGTTCGAACAGTGTATTGTCTTAAGTTATATCTGATGATGGCAGAAGGTCCAGAACAAAGACTCACTATAGAGCAAAGAGTATTTGTGGTAAAAAGTTTTTATCAGACGAACAACAAGACTGAGACTTGTCGCCTTTTTCAATAAATAATTCAATCGTCAAATCAAACGTGACACCGTTGCAGATATCGTTGATCGATTTGAAGAAAGCGGCACAGTTGATGAGAACAGACGATCAGGTCGACCTCCTACTGTTAATACAGTAGAAAAAAAAGCCACTGTTAAATCTTTTTTTATCAACGATCCCACAACATCAACAAGACGTGCTGCATCTGAGCTTAGCATTTCGAAAACGTCAATTCTACAGATTTTATCTGAATTGAAATTACGTCCGCACCGTCCTCTCCTAGTGCAACAGTTGAATGATGATGATCCCGATCGAAGGATTGAATTTTGTGAAAAACTTCTGGCGATGGTCGACGAGGATGATAGTATTCTTGATAAAATTATTTGATCAGATGAAGCAATTCTCAAACTTAATGGGCACGTCAACAGGCATAACTCAGTTTACTAGGCAACCGAAAATCCTCGAGTCGATATAGAAAGAGACTTCAATGTACCTGGCATCTGCATTTGGATAGGTCTGACATCGTATGATATTATTGGTCCGTAGTTTTTTACTTCTACTGTCACTGATGAGAGCTATGTAGAAATGTTACAGAATTATTTTCAGCCTGCAACCGCTGACTGGCCAAATTTGAATGACTTCTGATATCAACATGATGGTTCTCCGGCTCACTACAGTCGCATTCCTCGCGAGTATTTGGATGAGACGTTTTCTGGAAGATGGATGGATCGTCGGGGTCCAATCGACTGGCCCCCAAGTTCGCCTGATTTGTCACCACCCGATTTTTTTGCATGGGGTGTGGTAAAAGACGTGGTTTATACAAAGAAGCCCACGTCGATTGATCAGTTACAAGATGAGATTGTTAATGCGTTTCAACAGATTTCAACTGACTTATGTAATAAAGTCTGTCGGTCCGTGGAATCTCGTTTTCACAAGTGCATTGAAGCTGGTGGTTTCCACTTCGAACAAGACTATTAACTGATTAGAATGTGACTTTGTTTGAATCAAATACTATCCGATATTGATGCTAAATGTGAAAAACACGGCATCAACGAGAATTTAACAGCAATTACAGATTATCGAATAATTTGTAGATCACTATATCCTATGTCACATTCATAGAACTATCATTGTTTTTCCAAAGATCGTCGACTGATTATTTCATAATCAATCTATATTAGCGATAATATACGGAAGCATTCAGTAAAGCATTGTCTTTCCAACGGTGAAACTCGAACCTCTCTATCTTGTTTCTATCAAAAGTTATTCGTAATCAAAGACTACCCGGTAACTTCTGGACCACCCTGATTTAGCATAAAAGAGGTAGAATGGTTGGTACCTTGCCTCAAAAGCGATTGTTCTTCCTATTTCGTCAATCGTCTCACGTAAGTCTGATATGAAAATATGTTTTCTAGGAAATTGCTCGATATTTGATTGGTCAGGTATGACTTAATTTTGAATTAGATTTGTAATATTCTGAATTTAAAAATAGGATCCACGAGACATTGAAAAACATTGGCAAACCATCTATCGAGGCAGTTTCTATCGGTAATTGATTTCTTTTTAATCTTTTTGAATATTCAACTGAAAAGATTTGACAATTACACAGAAATGGACCCATTCTAACAAGTGCTCTGTCAGGCGTTGAACAGGCTCTGTGGGATATTCTGGGAAAACAGTAGGAATTCTTTTATTCTTATTTGCTCTCTTATTTATTTGTGTAGTCTTAACGTTCCAGTGTGGCGTTTGCTCGGTGGAAAGGTGCGTGATCGAATTCGTATGTACGGATGGTTGTCATTAGAACCTACAGGTGACTACATTGACTTGTATGCGAAAAGTATCAATGAAAATCCGGAAGGATTTACTGCGTATAAAACATGTCCCATTCCAGCAATGCAAATGATTGAACAACCGCATGTATTACATGCTATTCGAGATAATATTATCCTTCTTCGAGATAAGATCGATAAGCGAATAGATGTTGCGCTCGATTTTCATGGACGATGCACGCCAGCCATGGTGAGTTGTCCAAATTTTGTCGATCAGTACAAACATAAATCATGTTATAGTCTCGTCGTATAATTCACATGATCGAAAATGTTGATATTATGTTTATTGGTACGTATACATCTATTCAGACATATGACTTTTAACAACAAAGGTGTTTTGTGTCATACATGGTTCGAAGTATGAATGCTGTACAATAAATGATAACGCAATTATGTAATAGAGAGAGAGTTAGTATTGATTAGTTCAAATGGGTAGGAATAGTCCTCTTTCGATATCTGACCGAATGGGGGAGGTGATAGCGTGGTGACTTGGGCGTGATGGGAATTAAGGTCGACTTCATAAAAAGAATTTCAAAAACTGACGACTCTCTGAAGAGTTAATTATGAAATGAATAAAACAATCTAAAACACCGCATATCATATGGACCTGTGTCTTTTATATGTTTAGAAGAACCAGTATTGCCCGGTGACGTGACCGCTCTCAAACAGATCTCGTCTTCTACGAGTATCCCCATTGCTACTGGCGAACGTTTGTTCACACGTTGGCAGTTCAACGATCTTATCGAACAACAAGCCGTAGCAATCATTCAACCCGATATCTCCCACTGTGGAGGTATCTTTGAAGCGCGCAAAATAGCTTCCATGGCCGAAGCTCGAAATATTGCTGTGGCGCCCCACTGTCCATTGGGTCCTATTGCTCTGGCATCCTCGCTACAATTGGCCTCATGTACGCCAAATTTTCTATGTCAAGAACATTTGACATTAGGTCATGACTACTTGAAAGTCCCGTTTCAGGTAAAAAAAAAGAATCTAATTTTTCGTGTAGTTTGAAATGCGATGCATTTAGGTCAAGGAAGGCTATGTGGATGTACCTCATCTGCCAGGACTTGGAATTGAGGTAGATGAGGAGAAAGTGCGAGCAGGAATATTTGCAGGTGATTGGGATACACCTCAGTTCCGACTAAAAGATGGCAGCTTTGCCGAATGGTAATACTGTTCACGACTTCCTTTTCCGTTTGTAAAAGATGTTTCTAATGAAATTATCATTTTCTTGATGACATAAAAATCTTCAAACATAGATGTGACTTCTCTTTCATGATCTGTATTTCTATCACAATCGACAACTGGATAATGAATGAAGTCAATTGAATTTGATGCAAGGTGTGGGTGTGGATGTGAGGTATGAGCATGGGTGTGGGCTGCGGCTTATGTTGGAATGAACTCAAGTCCACACTCCTAGTTGGAGACTTTTCGAGATAATATTTTTACATGATATTAGAACGAAAAGTGTGGGCATTTTTACGAGCAAATAGAGGCAGTTTGAAGTGAGCATGTAGGTGTGAAATGATTATCCACACTAATCCCACCCACTTTATACCAACGCCCACATTCTACAGTGTTGTGAATATATTAACCATCGTTACAAGTGACGATTCAGCTGGGACAGCATGGAATCTGCTGTATTTGGAGTTTTTTGTCGTCATAATGAAAACTTTTCGTCAAATTGAAGTCGAATTTAATTTTTATTCTCTCTTCAAAAAAAGGTATTCTTACAAGACGCGTTGCGATTGAACTTTTTTCTGTTAGTGGCTGAGGGCGTGGGTGTGGGTGTGTGGGTGGTGGGTGTGGGTGGGTGTGTAGTGGGTGGGTGTAGATGTGTGCGTGGGTGAGTGGGTGTGGGTGTCTTCTCTCACGTTCATATCCACACCCACACCCATATTCTATTCATGGCAAAGAGTTATATTTCAAATCCTGCACAAAAAAAGAAGCAGTAATAGAATTCTTTCTGTTCTTCGGCTCAACAAGTGAGATTTTTTTCTATGAGGAACACTACTACATTATGGACTTTCTCTCATAGATTAGGTACTAGAAAAGAGAGAGAAAAATAATAGCGTTTTATCCACTACATTTTTCTCGTTATATATTTGCTACAATGGTAATGTCATAGCTCATGTGTTGCTGTTTTTGAAAAAACGTGTCTAATGAAGAAAAATGCAACGTATCCGTGCGTATGTCACAGACGCAAAAAAAGCAAAGGAAGGTATGATCAAAAATAAATTACATTTTGATCCATGAGTGTAAAAGTGAGATCAAGAACTGTGAAAAAGGCCAGAATTTTCATCACTGCATTTTTCGATTCAATTTACATAGATATGTGCAGGTGTGGGTGTAGGTGAGAAACTTTTCTTCAATCCCACACCCACATTCAGGACAAATACTAGGGCACATTCGAATGCAGCATGCACATCTTTATTTGGTTCTCATTCTGCGGAGCAATAAAATTTATCTGTTATCTTTTCTTGTACATCAATCAAGAGATAGAAACGTATAATCAATAAAATGAATGAACGAGGGTGGGGTGTGGGTGTGGCTCTCGATTTCAACAACCCTACACCCATACCCTTTTGATATAAAATTAGTTATGTATACTATTTGAAATTATAGTGTTATCCCCCTGGAATAATATTTTTACCCACCCTGTAGATCAACAAATATAAAACAGAATTAAACATTCTTTCTGTTAATGAAAATATGATTTTTTATTTTGTGTAAATCTTCATAGAATATGAATAAAAAATAAAAATAAAAAGTATTGGTTTTTAAATATAATTTTCTATAAAATAAATCTATCAAAAATATTAATACGATATTAAGTCAACCATTGAAATATTTTCATTTAACTGTTTCTTATGTTGAAACAATTATAATAAGATGAATAATCTTTTCAATAATATAATTAAAACAATAAATAATTTGAAAATTCTTTAAGTTTTATAACGAAAATTTTAAAAATAACGTTTTTCTTTGAAATCATAAAGAAAAGAATCATTTATTGCGACAGAGATTCTATTAAGAACTGAGAAATCTTTCCTTTGAATCTCTATAATGAGAAATCATTAAATTTCTATAAGTAAATATTACTATTTAACACTAATCTGTATAAAGAATTCTATTATTCACTTAAATATTTTGGATATATGATTGATAGCCTTTCTTCGTGTTTAGATAAAAATAAATTGATAAGCTCATCAATCGATTACTTGTTATGATAGACTTGTTTAAAAAAAGAGACCAATGACGTCAAACTTTTTCAGCTTATATTTTTACCGAGACACATAGAAACGCCACATGACTGATAGAAAGTGTAAAAAGATGAAACAGAAAGAAAAGGAATATCGTCGAAAGTGTTTAATGTCGGAGAATAAAGTTTCTTTTTTTCTTGTTTGCCGAAACTGAAAAACAACTAAAAAGGTAACTTTTTACCTGTATCGCGTGCCTAATATAATTTCTGTCGGTTTAATCGAATATGAGTAAGAAACAACAATGTTTTCAATAGTGGTGAATATAAACAGTATAATACACATGATACCAAACAATCTACTGGCGGATTATTTTTGGTGAATCAAATTCATTATGATAAATTGAATGAAAACTTTAACGGATTTATTTGTGCAATTATGTTCCAAAAATTAAATTAAAAAATAATACTTAAAATTGATAATTGTATATAGTTACTTCTTTAAAAAAAATATATTTAAATGTTTGTTTCTCATAGATCAAAAATTAATTTGAACAAGTAGAATATTTTTATTGAGAAAATGTGTTAATAGATTTTTAATTAACCGCAGAAAAGAGATTATAATCAGATAATAAATGTTCTCTTCTAGATTTTGAAAAATATTCAAACAACATAAAATTAACAATTTACTTAATTCGATCTACTAATTTCCATTAAAAGAATTATAGAAAATATTCATTATCAAGATTTATCACGATATCAATTAATATCTTCACTAAAAATAAATATATATTCAAATTAAAATAATTTAACTATGAATCATTAGTGGTTTTTTGATTTAGTTGAAATAAAAAACATCCTTAAGTCTATTATTAATGTTTGCTTGAAAATAGTTTGTTATTAATATCTATTTCTTAAATGATTGAATTTCAATCAGTGAATAGACAAAAAAATTATTGTGCAAGACTTTTAAGCGATTTTAGTCTATAAATAAAAAATCTCAATAAAAAAAACAATTTTATAGTTCATAATAAGTGGATAAAAAAACAAATGGTTTAAATAATAGTAAATAAATATAAAATTATTTCTTAAGTTGAAATTGATCAGATAGTTTATCATCTTCCGAATGATAATAATTAAATGTTAAATATGTTTTATTAGCATGTACATGAGTATATCCAAAGTAAATATCATGATAAATAATCCATTGTATATCATAATAAGATCCATAAGTAAAATAATGTCCACCCATATCAATTAATACTTGTGTTATTCCATCATTTACACATTTATTTTGATATATTGGACATGTTCGTTCATATGCATGTATATGCACGGATGTGGTACTCATGGGGTGCAGGATAGTACGCACCACCTCACTTTTTTTCTTTCGCCCCATTCCTGTGCATATGAGCATATAAATTAAGATCAACATTATATTGATATAGAAATAGTTCTATATAAAACTGTGACAGTATTTTAATTAAATCAACTGGTATTAATGATAAATACATTGGCCGATTTGAAAGAACAATTAATCATGACGTACGAATACGACTAACTGAACGAAGATCTTCTTCAATACATCTATATTGTGTTGATCTTCGACGAGAATCATGTTCAGTTGAATAATAAACAATATGTATTCGTCCAATGTCAAGACTATACCAAAATAAATTATTAATATTTGATGGAAAATGAAAACGATTTACTATTAGAGCAACGCATTCACCACCTGAGTCATAACCATAATTATCCTAAAGATAATTTAATTTATTTCAATTCGACAATAAATTTTATAAGTGAAAATATACTTTTTTTCTAATTATAGATCAAACATAATCAGTCCAATCCCTTTGACCCCTTGAGGACGGGATTACTGTTATAAAAAACGAAGTTTTTGGTAACTCTGAAATAATAGATTTTTTCACACCAATGTAAAGCGCAAATGTCTACAAGTATTTCAGAGTACGATATTCTCGAAAACAACCTATTACACGAAGCTGGACATTACATTCAGCATATTCGTATTTAGGCTCAATCTTCTTTTTTAGTTTTACTTGTCGTTTTTAGGTAAACCACCGATTAATTTCATGAATCTTGTCTTGTCAATATTGAAGGCATAAGTGATGGAAAATTGTGTACAACAAGTTGGATAGGATGGTCTTCACTGCTGGATCGACCACTCGGTACTTTCAAGTTCTCAAAAATCTTAATGACTTGACGTATCAGTTCTAGCCAGAAATCATGAAAATCGAATACTTTAACCGGTCTTTTGCTCATGTAAAATATAAGAATCCAGTATTCATATACAGAGCAGGCGAAAGAAAAGTTTTTTTATATCATTCAATTGATTTTCGAACACGTTCGACCTAAATAATCTGTATACATGCGCGATAGATAAAACGAGAATGCACTAGAAGAAAGGAGAAGTCGTATGAAGGTGACAGAAAACGTAAGTGTGTGTATAAATACCTATATTTTTAAACGTGAGGGTGTGGGTATGGGTGTTATTGAAGGGAAGATTCATGTGCACTCCTACCTACAGTCTCACACAGACACGCACACCCACCCCACACCCAGACCCATACTCCAAACCCACAACTCACACCCACATCAACACCCCAGCCACAAAGGCATTGTTCGACAAAGAAAATTTTGATGTTCTGTTTTGTCCTTTCGCTCGATCACTAACTGCTCTTATGATCGCCTGTTAAAGGTGAGCTGCGACATCTATCAGCCATCGAGCCTTAGCTGGTTCTCTTTTTGTTTGGGCAGGATGGATATGATCAGGTTAAAGTAATTTGCACCAGTGCAAATTAAGAAACGATCCGTCATCTGTTTACCTCGTCAGCCGACTCGAAACATACAATGGTCGTTCGTGCGTATATCCTCGCATGTATTTTCGCTTTTGCACACAGTTTATTCGTTTCATTGGAGAGAGGACAGCGACGAAGAAGTTTTGGCTGAGTGATCGTTGGTGCTGATCTCTTGAAAATTAGCAACGAAGTTCATTCCACATCTATGCCAACCATGCATCTGTTTATGTTCATGCAAAAAAAAGATACAACACAATGGCATACATAAAAAAAGGGGATCACAAGTCAGTAGGCGCCACTGGTTCATAGGCTGGCAAGTGGTACATATGTCCCCAGACATTTGAAAGACACACAGATGCATGAAAACGAAAAAATATTTGAAGAGGTGTAGCGATTGCGGCAATGATCGACCATGGAATAACTTGGTAGAAGGCCAGTTGAAATGGATTAGCTTCATGTTTAGTGGTGGCTGTTGTTCTTTCAAACCAGAGAATCAAATCAACCATAATCAGTAGAGTGATCATTTCACGCGCCGGATATTTATGTTTACTCGTTCGTCTCATACGTTTGCGCAATGCAACGAGAATGAACAATGCTTGAACGGTACCTTCGACGAATTCTACAAAAGACTAAATCATCAAGCTCCATATCATTCTGATTGTAAACAAGACTGACTGAGAGCTCAGTACAGTATTTCACGGATTTGTGGAAAGCTAATCTCAACCGTCTTGTCGAATGCGTATCTTACCTAAAATAATGATTGCTAATAGAAGATAAGCGATCCATGTTGATGAACTTAGGTTACTAATGATGGCAAAAGCACTGAAGATCGAATACAAATAGATACCTGTCAGCGAGACAATGATAAGAAAATCGTCGAAACCTATGACAGAGCAATATATTAGAAGATAGTTCTTTTTCTCTTCTATATCTCACGTGTTGTCGTTCGGCGATAGTTCAATTTGCGGATTTTGATTAATGACCACACGGTGGCACATAATGAAAGAGCCAACACAGAAAAATTAACGATTTCAAGAATGACAATGCTGTCGTCTATTCTTTTCTTAGTCTTTGTTAATGATGTGAATGGACGATAAACGTCAGTGATCGGAGCAGATATGATCGAAGACATTGAATATGTTCGATGGAATATTGTTGTTGTACTTGCAAGAATAGTATGCAAATGATCGGAATGCTTATCAACCAATGAAGATGACGTCAAATGGCTAGCATCATCGGGTTTGTTTCGAAAAACAGCATAGAGAATGATGGAAATTATTGAACAGGAGAAAACAATCATTCCAGCAAAGAGACCTTTGATGGATGCATGACAATTGACGATGAAAACGTTCTTGGTCGATGCTTTATCTGATACTTTATAGGTAAATGTTTTGCCGATATTTTCCCAGATGACAAAGAACAACTATGCAGAGTCAGTTAGAATGCATAGCGACGAGCCCGAAACTAGGAGAACTTACTGTGAGACACATGAGACTAAACTCGACTGTACATGGATATAGGAGTGGTTTCAGTTGCATGTACCTTTCGTGGATGAAAGTAGTAACTGGTAAACACTTCGAATGGGAGATCAGTAGATGGGGGAGAAGATCGATTGTGTTTCGACTTCCTTTTTTTCGATTCGGAAAAGTGCATGAAAGGCGAATCAAAAAATGATGATGAATGCTCACCGTTATTCAAGTGGCTAGCGGTGCTACTGTGTTGGTGGTGGCCCACTTCCGCGATTTGCGATTTGGTTTCAATAACGACCATGCGAAACCTATCGAAATACATTATGTGACATTGTCTGATGATCGTAAAATTCCGCAGAAATACTATCCAATGTAATGAAGATCGTTTGAGACCAATGTTTGAAATGATGAAATTATAGAAATTAGAATTTATGTTGAAATGTGCAGAATCAGCTCAACTACAGATGAATGAGAAATGTTGTTGCTTCAAGGAAAATTAGGAAAAATCAAAGGGCCAGTTTCATCTTTATTGTAATCATATGCTTACTCCCGTAAAAAGCCAATCGATAGATTTCATATTTCTATTTTCGAGCATTATGTTAGCATCGAAAATTAACACTGAAAAATCTTGCTCGTTTGAGTAACAGTGAACTTACCATACACACAAATTAGTGACCACAATATGAATGACTGCCAATCGAGCTAAACTCTCATGGGCTCGAATGATGACCTAAAGAATAATCAATGTTCGACTTATGTTTTAATATTGCATTATTTCAGAAGAACATACGTTCGAATGTTTGAAAATGAAGAAGAATTGAACGAAACTGAAGAGCAATCGCGAGGAATTGTCCATTACAGCTGTCCATCGTATACATGAACGATCTTCCAAATTACTTAGAACCGATAGACCCGAATGAATTACTGTGCCAAGGCAAAAAACTAGAATGATCGAGTTGAAGATTTATTTGAAATTCCTGGAAATTCAAAATGTTTTTCATGTATAACTTTTGCTGACATTATCATAGATCAGATTCAGAGTAAGTTGTTAAAGTGAAGACTTGTTCACATAGTTTATGGTTAAGGAAACACAGACCAATGTGTTCTCTGTCAAGTAAAAGCCACGATCTGGCATTCTAAGCATGCAGATGTATGGTTGCATAGTGGCATAATGGCTTCTCTTTTGGGAACGCGATTTATGACAAAGATGAGACGCGTCTTGCGATAAGTGTTTTCGCTTGTGTGATGACCTCTGTTAATGTAGATTATGTCATGATACTCTCAGGTCATTAGAAACTAGGCTATTGGGCAGTCAGAAAATTTCGATGTATACCCTTCTACACATCTATAAACTAAGATCCAATTAAACCAGATATGAACAAGACCTATATATCCAATGCTTATATCCGTCTAGTTCGCTTTTAAAACTTCATTGACATACAGTTTTCTGTAATTTAGACTGTTACTATTCAGAATTTCCGGAAATTCAAATAAGCCATCGTGTAGAATGATCCGTTTAGATGATCAGTAGTGACTCATATTTTTTTTTCAACTTACTTCCGATGCCTATACGAGTATAGAGGCCACCAGTGGTGGAACTGTCATCGTAACTGTAACCGATAACGTGTTGAATAATGCTGTCTCTTCGATGGCGTACATAGGTTCTGAGATCACGTTGTTGGGTTGGGCACAGAGCATTCCGTCGAGTCGAGACATCTCGTATCATATCTGTTGGTGATTTCGTTGCCGATGGTCGATGCGAGAGATTTTCCAGAGAGTTCGATTTACTGCAATGATCATGAAAGCTAAGCGTATCTTCATTGTCTGTTGATAATCCATTGAGGTTCATCTCTGATTATTTGTCTTACTTGTTATCTAATTGATCTTCTTCGGACTCATTGAATACTTGCAAATCGATATAGGTGGTAGTCGATGATTTTCTATTTGCTTCTGTCGATGTTGATATAAGCTTGTTTCGAGCGAGACCAACATCACCAGTCAAATCCATATGGTTCGAATCCAATCTATTCAAATTGCTCGTAGGGATTTTGACTTTGCGTCGATGACGAATGATGTCAATAATACAAAACATCATCCAAATGATGGATATCCAGTATAGATATGTGAAGTAGATCTACGATGTAGTGAGATTGATGTTGTTAGTAGGTCTCAGTTCTTAGAATGCACATATTTACCTTAGCCAAATGTCTGATAATTTCGCCTTCTTTTCCTTGTACGATAGCATGTGAAATTGAAAAGGCCACACCGCCGATGAAGACAACTAAGGAATTATAGTGTTTATGATGACCTCAGGCAAATTCATGCTTCTAATAAAAAAAATCATCTGTCTATCATAACAGATCACGTTGATCGTTTCTGTATCTTGGACGAAACGTTAATTGGAGAGAACCTTGAGTTTAGGATTATAAAAGCTCGAGTAGAGAAAAGAACTAATGTCCGCGCCATAATTAAAGAGGGATTTATGTAAATTGAATAACTCAACAACGACAAGAGCTAGCGACCTGCGATTTTCACTAATCGAAAGAGGAGACCGAGGGACGTATTTTTTCACCATATTGTTTCAGACAAAATTATTTTGGACACTGTCATTTCTGGAAATCTTTTTTGAGAAAACGTACAAATGGTATGTCAATACAATAAATTTTTATTTTGATATTCTCATTAGATAGAGGATTGTCAAATCTACACTCCTATATAAAAATTCAAACAGTTAGCTTCTCATTTTCTTATCGTTATCAAGCTACATCGAGTTTCTGATGCTCTATAATAAGGAATATTACTCTGAA